AAAAGTGAAAAAATGAAAAGTAAAATAATAAAAGTGAAATAATATATGTAAAAGTAAAAAATAAAAAGTAAAAAATCGAAAAAGTGAAATAATAAAAGTGAAATAATATATAATAAAAGTAAAAAAAAATAAAAAGTAAAATAATTAAAAGTAAAATAATACTAGAAGATTTTATCATTATATAAGTATTTTTGGAATTTTCATGTTTTTTGATTATATTGAATTTGCAATTTTTATATTATTATTGTAACAATATTTTTTTAGAATTTTTTGTTCACTTATAAATATGAGAAAAAATTTTTTATAATTAAAATTGTAATTTTTCAATTTAATTATAAAAAATTTTTTTATGTTTACAAGTGAACAAAGAATTTTAAAATATTTTAAAATATTTTAGAAAAATATATATATAAAAAATATAAATTATCATTTTTATTTTAGTATAAAAATAAAAAATAATTATTAATAAAATAACAATTTTTTTTAATATAAAGAAATAATATTAATTTTACTATATTTTTTCAATTTCTGATAATATAATATAAAAGTATATATACTAAATATATATTTTTTAAATATATATATATATTAACTTAGTATTTATTATATAATTAAAATTAAAATTTGATAAAATAATATAATATAGTAACAATTAAAAATAATATAATATATTAAAATTTAATAATTAAATATAATAAAATATTTTTTCTTTTTATATAAAAAATTTTTTATTTTTATATTAAAATAAAGATAATATTATATATTTTAACATATAGTTTTTTCAAATTTTTTAGTTTTAATCTGATAAAACTGTTCTAATTACATATAAATTAATTATTTTTATAATTAAAATATATAAAAAAATAATTGATTTTATATATAATTAGAATAGCTTTATCAGATTAAATATATGAAAAGAAAAAGTTAATAAAAAAGAAACAAATCAATTTTTTTTCAAAAATAAGTTTTTGTATTTAATATATTAATATAAATATATAGATTATATTTTGTATAATTGTAAATACTTATTTTTATAATAAAAAAATTATATTTGATTTCTTAAAGTTTTTAATTTATATAAATTAATTAATAATAACCAAAATTAAAAATCTAATTATCAGAAAATTATAAATTTATCAATTTGTCTTTTTTTATTGACTTCACTTCATATATTAAAATATATAATATTATCTTGATTTTAATATAAAAATTTTTATTAGTAAAATTAAAAACTTTTATATAAAGAAAAAATTTTATATTTAATTAATAAATTTTGATGTTATTGCATTATTTTTGAAATAACTTGTTTTTTATATTTGATAATTAATTAATAATAATAAAATAATTCAAATAAAAATTTCTGATAATTAACTATTATAAGATTTGTTTCAATATTAAGTTTAATTATAATTATCTTATAAGTAACAACTTTAATTATTTGAACTAAGTGCAATAGAAACAATGTAAATTGTATTATAAATTATAATTCAATTTATACTGTTTTTATTGCACTTAGCCCATTTATTTGACCAAAAATAATTAAATTAAATTTTTATAATATTTATTTTAATTCTAATATAGTTATTATTTGTCTTTATTATATGTAATATAAAATTTTTATGTTAACAAATTTTTTAGCAATTTAATTTTTACTTTTTATGATTGGATCTTGTTCTTATATATTGACAAGATGAGTTGGTTCTTCAAATATGGCAAATATCAACAAACTTTTATACAAAACAAGTTTTCAGGTCTAAATATAATGGGTTTTGATTAACTTGTAATTCGCAATTATAATAAAAACTTACAAACCATATTAAATTATTCAAGAATTACCAGGAATGCATAGTTACTATTTATTAATGTAATAATAAATATGTAAATTTGGTTACCAATTTCTTCTGACGACTCTAACTGCATGTGTGTTAGTTACTTTAATTTATTCGGCATTAAATAAGACTACACCGAAGGGTTGGACTTTGTACCACACCACAAATGAAACTAGAAGATATGTTTATGGACAAAACAATACGAAAAGGCAAGCGGTTGGAACACCTAACAATATCCATGTATCGATTGTAAATTTAGAGCAAACAATACAGCAAGCGTAATAGGAGTACGTACTTTACACGGTAAATTTCAAGAATCCAAATTTTGGGATTTTGCTGTACGCATTTTAATCTATGCTCGAATGGTGGGACAAAACATATATAATAAGACGACGAAAGTCATTAATGTAAAAACGCATAAAATCCCAATGCAAAACAAACACACAATACTAGACGAGTCAGCATTGTCGCGGAAATTTATCAATTGGATTTTTTTTCCATAAACGATCTTTATGTCTTTATTTTCGATACAATATGAAGGGTGACGGGACTGTTCAAAATGAAGTTTGTTTGCTTGTGATACGTATGCTGCAGTGACTTTGAAACGAATAAATTGTAAACAAAAGGTTCCTACATTGTTGATATTAACAATTTCGCGGCTGGGTTATTCTAAAATCTTTGTGCACTCAAGATTTGCAGTAGGTTTAGAAAGTCAATATAACAAAAGGAGGATCACAAAACGAGTACAGTATTTAAAAGAGTAAAATCTATTTTCATCAATAGTAACAATGCGAAGATCTATTAACGTTAAATCCCAAGTTGGAACGATGAATAAGTGATCGATATACCTCATCAATGCAATTACAATAGCCTCTTAATATAAAACAGCAAAACTGTATATTTATTGCCGTTATTGTTATTAATAACCAAACAATGGATCTGTATGAATTATATAATATGAAGATGTGTCGGCGTTTGCTCTATTCAAAGTAGGCGCATGCAAATGCACAACTCATAGAATCACTTATCTTTGTTCATCACACAGATAACAAACTGCAGAAACTATATTCAAAGCTTACGTACGTATTTGTTTTTTGATTATATATGGTATTATGATACAATGTTGCAGAAGACTGAACAAATAATCCGGAAAAACTTACCGGCTTCTGGTGCATTCATTCGTCTTTCAGATCTTCAATTTGGATTTATCAAATAGGAATTAACTTCTTTTATTGGCGAAAATAATAGAAACTTCTTAATCTTGATAGAGAAAACTTAAAATACATGATATTTCGAAAAAAAAGTTAAAATTAATATGAAGGGCGGCTGATAGTTATTGCGTACTATCTAAAAAAAAATCTATGTAAAAACGTCGAAATAGAAAAAAAAACGAAAAAGAAAGAAGAAAAGAAAACGGATGAATTTTTTGTTTTTGACTTTTTTTAAAATTTTGTATTTATGAAGAAATATAAAATAGTAAAATTGGCGAAAAATAACTGGTTTCATTTCAGCTGCAAAAATTGAGCGTAAGAGAAAGTGACAAACTACGGGATAATATAAACAAATAAACTGCAAAAATTTGTTTCGTAATGGTCATAAAAGGAATCGATGGTTTAAAGAACGAGTAAATTTCTAGTTTCTCCTTAACTGCATTAATTTAAAATGCAAGTTTTACTTATGAATCATCGTATAAATTTGTCTGATAATGTGAATGAATTGATCAAATAAACTTAGATGTATTGTCGTCGTCATGTGTTGTGGTTTTTTTTTAAATAACAAAAGTAATTAATTCCGATATATTGAAATTCTTTATATTTTTTGAGCCCAATAACGATGTAGCGAGAATAACGTGCGATGTTCGGTTACTTCAACGGCATAAACGCGGATGAGATCAACATATTCTTCATCATTAACACCCATAAGCGGAGCTAAAACAGTTTTCATGGAATCGTACGCTTCCAAACAATTTTTTAGATTCTTTGATACATAAAATTCAAATAATGATTAATTGAATATATAAATTAACTGAACAAGTGTCAAAAGAAAAAATTACCATTACGCCAATAGTATCCTTCCATTCTCCAATCGGCTGTATTTGCACTGCATGTGAGATATCCTGAAGACCACCCACACGCTCAAGGGATTCATTAACATAGAAACTTGGGATTACATCTATCCCTAATGGACTCAGACTTTTACGCACTATCAAAAACCAACTTTTAGTATCTTTTTATTTTTTCTTTACATCTGATAATTAAAGAATCAACTACTAACATGTTTCATTTAGTCTTTTTGTAATTGGACCTCCGTTGAGATAGATCCAATCCACTTCAGATATTTCGATCCAGCCGCCTGATTTTGTAACTCTAATCATCTCTTTTAGGGTTTTTTCTTGCCACTCTTTCTTTGGAATAAATGGGAGTATATTGCTTTGACGTACAAAGTCAAATGTGTTGTCCTAAAATTTTACGATCAAATTAATCAACCAATTTCATTACAACTCTTATTATACGTAATTGAAATTTTACCTGGAACGGAAAATTATGCAAAAAATTATATTGTAAAAACGCAGTATTAGCAAGTTTTTTATCATTGTCGAAGTCCGGCGAAATATCCATTCCAATAAATGACGAACATGGATACTCTCTTGCCATATCGATAACCCATGCACCAGGACCACATCCAACATCCAACACTCGTACACTACCCAATCTCAACAATTTCTTATCTATAGGTGCTTGAAAATTTCCACTCCACATGTGTCGAATTAAAAAATGTTCTCGCCATTGACGTGAATATTCTTTCGAATCGTTTGGGAAGTAATAATAAATTTCTTGATCATTCAGGTATCTTCTGCCATCTAAATGAAGGTATGTATCGAGCGCATTCTCATAATCGTGACTAGCACCGATGATTGGGTCAAGAATTGATTTTTTTTGTGAAGAGTCGTTGTTCAAAGCATTGTCGGAAATAAATGATGATCTTGTGGAAAGCTTGGTCTTATTATCCATCTCTGAAGGATAAAAATTTGGTGTAAGGGGATTTGTTTTAAAAGAATGTGAGAAATTATAGGAGAAAATTAAAGATTAATACAATGAAAGTATAGGATCCAATACAACCACACCTCTTTTTAAATTTTTTTCCTTCTATGAGAATAATTTCAAAAGATTAAACAAAACTCACATAACAATGCACCACCAATACTAAACGGTAAAAAAATGAGCACGTGGGTTCAAATAACTCGAATTTGCCAAATCAAAAAGAAAGTATTGCAGAAATTCCCTGCATGTATTATTACCCTTAATGTAAGCTGTGATTGTTAAACAGTCGATATAAACAACAGCGACAGGCATTAATTAAGTAATTCGGGGGGAATTCAAGGTACTGAAACAAACTTTATATCACGACAATACCGATACTTGCTATTATTTTTGGATGCACAACGTTATTTTAAACATTTAATAGTCATTCTCATGATACGGACATGTATCGGTATTGCTACGAAATTAAAGATCGACAGATTGACATGTGCATTTTGTTTATGGTATTGGTTTTATGATTGGAATGATATGGCTGCAGCAGTTGCATTATATGCAACGTTGACATGAAGCAATCATAGTGGAGGGGTTTGAAGAATGCAAATAGCTTTTTGTTGCTCAGCGTTCAAACTTGACGGCAGTGTCGCGCAGATTGGTGCATTGAGTTGCAAGTGGTTCGTAGTTTCGCAGCATACTCGACCGCTCGGATAAATGCGACCAATTTGAAAATGTCATTGTTCTCGTTGAATATCACAGGAAAAGCTAAGAACAAATATGTTTGTACAAATGCTTGACCGTAATTTAATTTTTTGCAAAGGATCAAGCCATAAATTATAGAATGCTTTTTATTTTTATTTTTATTTATACTATCAAAGGTCAACACGCATCGAACAACCATCAATGACGATAAAATGCGAGATTTCTTTTTATGCAATGATTATCACGTGCATTTATTCTGAATGGTTCATATAAATTCTGTTGATTTTTAGAACGAATCTTGTAAAAAAAACTACAGAAGTCTGTTACATGAAGTAAAAGAGCCAAGCTACGCAGTATCCAGTCCAAGACAATTCAGACATGATATTTTTTGTCAATTTCAAGCCGTATTGGATGTGCCGCTAGAGATTTCCATCGGTTGGAGCTTTTTCTTCTAACAACATTAGTGGATAGTTCTTTGAGGTAAATTAAAATAATATATTGATACACTGCATGTTTGCTAATTTTTCAAGCGAAGCAATGTCATATTATTTCAATTCATTATTTATCATTTGATGTTCGACAATATAAAATTCTTTCTCACCTGAATTCGACTAATTGGATTGTTCACAAACCAAAAGAGATTTGTATTATTGGTATTAGTAGATAAAAAGTTAAAAGATACGCTAGCCATATGCAATAATCGAAACCCTTTTTTTGCATATTGCGTATATTGCGTACATTCTTATCAATTGTAATTAACAAACCGCGTCATATCTTTAAAAAGAAATACCATTCTACAAAATCCATGGAATAAAGAGCTTTCATTGTGCATAAGCATATGAACGTGTTCAAATATTTTCGAATGATGCTTTTGATTTAATATCGCACTTTTCAATATTTCTTGGTGTTAAGAATCTATTTTTAGAATTATAGCCATAATCGTGAAGAAGAGGTTATGAATGTCTGGAAAAGGTGTGACTGCATAGAAGTACTACGGCATCCGCATAATAAATTATCTTCTAAACTCAGAGATTTGCTTCTATGTAAGCCTATCGCTATCGCTATGCCGATAAAAAAATCTCATCATCCCCAATTTGTCTAGATTCACGTTTCCAAAAAGTATCTCGCTTCGCGATTGCAAATCCTGGATTTTCCTCATAAATTAAATGTTTTATCTTTGATTTGCTTGTAAAACAAATGCGTCATCACTAGCACACCCAATATTATGTAATGCAGAATAGGCAATAACGGGATTAGTCGTTGTCTTTCTTTTATCCTTAGCATACAAATAGTTTTTATTATGTTAAGAAAACCCGCAAATATATTGTTAAAATAAAATGGTAACATGTGCAGATACGTGAAAATCATACAAATAATGCATTTTATTATTCATTTAATTCACGGGAATTAAATTTGATTTAGTCTTAGTCAGAAAATGCGCATCTACAGTCACGTTCTTTCTAGATATACGTACATAGTTTAATATCTGAAATTTACTAATAATCTCCCGATATAGTGGATTTTTGAAAATTTTTTACCTTTGGTACACTAAAACGAGAATCACCGTGTATCCGTGTATATGGGTTTTTTGAATTAGCAACAATCGTTAAAAAATTAGTATACCGATACGTGATGCAGCGCCTTTTTCTATAACCAGTTCATATTGTAAAAAAATAATTGATTAACAAGTTACCAGTAATCGGGTTACCCATGAAAAAAAATCAAAAAACTTGTGTACATGAAACACATAAATAGAAGAATGTGTGGGAGAAAAAAAAAGATTTACTAACTACAGTACATAAAAAATATCACACGTATTGAACATCTATACTATTCTGTAAAGTGGCGGAAAAACTTAAAAAAAATCCTAGTGGACGTGATCGATGAGTCGATTTTTTATATATCAGGAAATTTTGTTTTTCAAATAAAGAAATATTCGGTTTTTATATTATCTCGAATTTCGTTGGACGAAGACGATAAATTATGTGGGCTCTGCATCCAAGAACATGCACTCCCATAAATATTACTTTTGTGTTCAAGGGGGAAAAGATCGCGGAAAAAATAAAGATGCAATGATTTTAACTTTAGAAAAATTAACTTTTAAAGATCTGTTAATAGTTTTATGCATGCGTGTGAATCTTGTGCGCATTCTTTCTTCTTGTATTTGTGGCTTTTTAGTTGGACTTGGGGGTCATATCATCCCCTTGATGATGCCCATCAATTCGGTCACGCCAAAGGAAATCCCTGCAGTCAGGAATGTATTTAATTCATGGTTTGACGCGAGTTTTTACATAAAGCGGGAAGATTGATCTTCTCCTACCTTTGCTTAATCACTCAACGTATAGACTATTTTGCAATCCAAAGACTTTCTTTATTTTTTTTGATTCACTTTCACACAATCTTAACCCGCTATACCATTTTCCTTCCTTTTCTCATAAACAACATCTTTTCATGCAACAGGTTTGCAATAACTACAGTAATACCATTAATAACATCAACCACAAAAATAAAGATTCTGAAAAGATGCTCTCTCAAAATCTAAGAAAAAACTTTCTCTATTCGAATCTTATCATGAGGAAAATAGAATTTATGATCTTTTTCGATATATATGGCAAAGTAATTTTATGGTCCCAGTCGATGAATCAGTGACCTGACTCGGGGCTGATCTTGTTCTGTTATCGGTATCGTTCGAGTAACGATATCAAAGTTAGATTTTCAATATGTCCTATAGTAAGTTATTAGTAACTACGAATCTCAATCAATTGGGTAATAATTGTGGCAGATTACATAAAATGAAATCGGATTAAATGAATTATTATCCGCCAGGTTTCATTTCATTTTAATCTGCCACAACAATTGTTAGATCTAGTAAACATCTCTGGTCTTAAAAAAATCTGCCTATTGGTGGATGAGCTGGGAAAATTGATCAATTGGTATATTTTGAAATTATTAAATTTGAAGGTATTAAATTTTTAAATTAGGTACTCGAAAACTATAGAAATGCATATCGATATGAAACGGGTGTCGTCAGTGGAGATCACCCAAGAATACTTCGACGACGCAATTCAATTTTTTTGCAAGAGGTGAATTTGTATACATGTACTATCAATTCATCGATTTTGGGTCCAAAATCAATAGTCGATTTGCACGCTTTTCTTTTTCGATCCATCTGGAACTAGAAAAATAATTAGCAGCAAATACGATATTACGTTTATAAAGCATATGATATTCGCATTATTTTTCCCTTTCTATTTTCGACAACCCTTAAAAAATTTCAGATGAATCCTTATTATAATTAATATATTTTTGCTCATTTGCATATAAATGCATATCGATATTTAAAATACCCTTAAAAATTTCAGATGAATCCTTATTATAATTAATTTATTTTTTACACGTTTGCATATGAATGCGTATTGATATTTAAAATTTGTTTCTTTTTTATTTTTAAAAAACACGTGGCCACGTGTAATTCATTTTTCTTAAACTCATTAATATTGACAGCACAAAGATTATTTCATTACTCGTTCATGGAAGTTTCACTTTTATTTATTCGACGATTCTATACTTTATTTTCATTCGCTCAAACTTTATTTACTATTTTTCGTTAATCGATTTTTCATGGATAAAACGTGTAAGTGAAAATTATAAAAACCCGAGTTCCATTGTATTTATTTTCTTTTTATATGTTTTGTTTTCTTTTTCTTCGCGCAGTTATCATTTTATGTTTTTATCGATTATCAAATAAAAATATATAGAATAAGGCGTCGATTTTCGTCGAAAATGAGTTTTTCTTTACTGTTTCAATTATCCCACTAATTAACAGACAAGATCTTAGCATTTAATTCAAAACTATTTGCGCCAAATTGCTTAGCTTTTTCATACAGTATAAACTCATACAATTGATTATCGTATTTTAATATTTCAGGTGCCGTTTTAACTTCAGTCGGTGTAGCTACAACAATTCATGTAAATGATTAATACCTATATTTAATTCTAAATTTCAAATACTAAATATGTTCTAAATTTAACTTATAATTTAACATGCAATTTTAAAGAAAAATACTAATTTAAATAGCATTATCGAAAAGTTAAAACAAATCAAATTTTTTTCAAAAAGATGTGTCTAACATCGTGAATTTAGTTCAGAAAGTTGGATTGCATAATAACATAAATTTTTCATTTTGCTCGGGAAAATGATTGCTTCATTTTTTTATTTAACCCATGTCACTAACTCTACCAAAGAATACCAGTAAACAATAATAAAATGCCTT